GCCCAAGATCCCGAGAGGAGAATGGAGGAGAAGGGATTGCAGCATGGCTATCCCCCCTGGAGGGTGATTTTTTGCTTTCTGTGTCTCTGTCTCTCTCTTGTCTGGCGAGCGCACACGCCCTATAGTGAAAATCTCTCAAAAAAAAAATATATATATATATAAATTTAAAAAGAATTATTTATTTATTATTATTTATTTATCATAAATAAATAAACAAATGGTGGATCACATTGAGAACGTGTGTGTACATGCTCAGGATCCTGAGAGGAGGGAAGAGGAGAAAAGATTATGGCATGGCCATCCTGCAGTTGGGGGTGATTTCTCACCTTCCCCTCTTACTGTCTCTCTCTGTCTCTTATCAGTGAGTGCACATACCCTATGGCCAAAACCTTAAAAAAAGGAAAAGAAGTATTTCACGACAAAAGAAGTATTTCACAACAGTTTGATAAATTAAGAGTGTATGGTATGATTCTACTATATTGAGGAAAATCTTGTGAATAAAATCATAAAATTGTAGGACTTTTTTTTTTTTTTTGGAGAGGTTTTTGCTATAGGGTGCATGCGCTCACCAGACAGACAGAGAGAGACAGAGAGACAGAAAGCGAGAAATCACCCCCCAGGGGGGATGGCCACGCTGCAGTCCTTTCTCCTCCATTCTCCTCTCGGAATCTTGGGCATCCACACACACGTGCCCGGCGTGTGTTTAAGCCACCGGGTCCGGGACACGAACCGCGGTCGACTACGTGGGAGTCCAGCGACATAGCCATTACACTAACTGCTGGTCCCAAATTGTAGGACTTATAAGAGTCAGTTTAATCTCTTATTTTATAGAAGATATATGGTTATAGATACAAAGTGAATTCTGAACAAGTTAACAAAAAAGAGTTCATGTTAAAACACAGTTTAAACTTTCTCCCATTCATTCATTCATTTATTCAAAGCGTATTTGAGGATAGGCAATATACACCAAAAAAATAGGATAGAGAGCTCAGAAATAAATCTAACATACATGGTTGTTTGATTTTTGCAAAGGCACTAAGACCATTTAATGGGGGACAAGATAGTGTTTCAACAAATGGTAATGGAAAGTGCGATGTGCAAAAAGAGAGATCAGACCTCTGCCTTATAATATATAAAGGAATTTAACCAAAAATGGGTCACATGGTTGTGCTGTGGTACGATGAGACACTCCATGACACAGTCCCACATGAGAAATTTCCCTGTTCAAGTTCAGCAATCTCTTTGAACATGCTAGGCACACCTGTGCCCATGATCATTGGCTTACTAAAGCTGGAGGTAGACCATGCTGTCAAGAACCCTTGGAGGTGCCGTCTTTCTCTGTCTCTCTTTTTCATAGAATGAATGAGTGAATAAATGAATCTTACAAAAGAAGAACAAAGCTTAAAAAAAGAAAGAAAATTGGGGCCAGCAGGTGGTGTGGTGGTTAAGGGTACTGGACTCCCAAATGGCTTATCGCGGTTCGAGTCCTGGACCTGGCAGCTTACTTTCTCTCTCTCTCTCTCTCTCTGTCCCTCTCTGGTCAAATTAAAATAAGTAAATAAAATAAATAAAGTTAAATAAAATATTCTTTGGGGGAAATAAATAAAGAAAATTAATTAAAATGTAGTAAAGACCTAAACTTGAGAGATGAAAATATAAGATATAGGGAGAAATCTTCCTTACAGTGGATTTGACAATAATTTTCTCAATAAGACACCAATAGGTTTAGGTCATAAAAAAAAATTGCTCAGGCAGTTTTGTGATTGTAGCAGTATCACAGAGTGCACTTATGCAAACCTAAATGGTGCAGCCTACCACACATCTAGACTGTATAGTATAATCTATTATAATCTTATAGGACCACCATCACGTGGTCTGTCATTGACCTCAAGTTTATTATGTAGCATTATGTGGTATATTAAAAATAACCAAATTGGGACCAGCAGGTGGGGTGGTGGTTAAGGGCACTGGACTCCCAAATGACCCACCGTGGTTTGATTCCTGGTCCTGGTGGCTTGCTTTCTCATTTTCCTTCTCTCCTTCTCTCTCACTCTGTCTCTCAAATAAAAAAGTTAGTGAATAAATAAGTAAAGCTAAGTAAAATAATTCTTGTAAAAATAAATAGATAGCCAAATTATACTCTATGATGTTAAATTTTATATGTGAATTTTATATCAATAAAGCTGTTGTAAAGTTTTTTAATTAAGAGAAAAGGGAAGAAGCCTGAAGAGGAGATAGTAGCTTTTCTATATGATACCAAAGATAAATGTTTAATGTTTCAAATTATTTATATTATTGTTACTAATTTTAAAATTTCTATAAGATGCACATACTCACCATAGATGGGGTAGGGGAGTGGAGGAGGAGAAAGCACCTACCAGGGTGGATGACCTCGGCCACAGTCATCCTCCTCCATTTTCCTCTTGGGACTTTTGGGGTTGCATGCACATACATCTGGCATGTTTTTTAAGCTGCTGGGCCTGGGACTTAAACTACACAGTCAGCTGTGTGGAATGTGGCCACCTTAACCTCACATCACTGGATCTTCCTTTTGTTCTTTTTAAGTTTGCTGCAGGGCGTGTGTGCTTGCTGGAGAGAGAGATGGAAACAAAGAGAGATGGGAAAGTGAGAAATCACCCCCTAGGGGGGGTGGCCATGCTTCAATCCCTTCTCCATTCTCCGCTTGGGATTTTTGGCACACACCCACTTATACTCAGTATATTTTTCAAGCTGCTGGGTCTGGGACTCAAGCCTTGCTGTCAGCCATGTGGGATCCAGCTACTTTAATCACCACGCCACCAGCTGGTCCCTGTTCATGTTAGTTTTTTTTTTAAATATTATAATGAACCTTATTTCTTCACAATCAAAAACAGACGATATAGAAATGTAGGGTGATACTCCTCAGAATCCTTCGCTTCCCATGTTCTTGTCCCTGTTCACTTCTGTCTAAAGTAGCAAATTCTATTCCTGAGAAGAGTAAATATGAATCTTTATCTGAAGTGATCAGTTACACATGCCTTCTGATTCACTTGATTTTGTAGTCCCACCAGTAGAAACATTGGTGGGCTTTCTTCATGGAAGAGTTTTTTTTTCTTTTTTGAGTGACATAGCTATTGATGAGTTGTATTGCTTCTCCATAAAGACTAGGGATTGTTGTGTGTCGTATGAGCCAACATTTTGTTTTTAATACAAGGATGTATTTTAGGTTGACTTCCAGGGCCAACCATTAAAAAAAAAAAAAAAAGCAGTGTTTTAAATTGTTATCTTTATCCAAAGAAGCAGAACATGTGCACAAACTCTTATTATTAAGTGCCTATAGGTTAGTGCTTTTTATGAGGAAGACTATTTACCCCTTACACAGTAGCAGACAAGAAGTAGAACCCTTACAATAAATGCTTGAATCAGACAAATATAGATAGTATGTAATAGTGGAGGAGATGCTTTTAAGTATGGGGGCATTAACACACTGGTGTTATGTGCAGCACCATCTTTAATACATTTTGTTTAAAATAAATATTTATTTTTCAGATGTTTTTATACCTATGCCAGAGAACTTATTAGTAAATTTAAACGAAAGTAAAGAGGTAAGACACCTTTTTCTACCTGACATGTTTAAATTATTGAAGGAATATATTTTTAAATGAACTTTAATTAAAATTTTGTTTTTTTCTGTGACTTTTCTACAATGCGTAGCTTTTTGTATTTGCTCTTAAAGTTAACTAGATGAACAACTCTCGAGTTTGGCCTTGAGCTGATCATTTTTAAGTCTAATGAAGCAATTTATTTATACTAGGGTAGAAGATAAGCCTGTTCCATAAAGGAAGAACACCTTCAGGAAACCTGTTTGTCAGCTCTTTGGGAAGTTGGGAGGGTTGCTGAGATAAAGCTTTGGTCACTACGTAGAAACACGTTAGTTAGACTGCTTTCAGTGCCCTTTGCTTTTCTGATTCACAGAGTGTCATTGGGGTCAGTTCAGAAGAAACTCTTATTACCTGCCTGGAAATTGCCATGACATAATGCAGTGAGAGGTGAAAAGAATGTGTCTGAAGGGGGGATGTTGTCTACCCTGTACATGCATATATGCCGTAGGGGTAACATTTTAACTAGCAAGTCTATGGTCTTTGCTCTTCGGCAGTGGTGATTGTGCCATAGTGTGAAGTATTATTTTCCCCATTATCTATTTATACAACCTAACCTGAATAGGTAGTGTTTTTCATTTTGTTTTTCTTTTGTAGTGATATTACTAGTTGGCAATGTTACTGGATATCTTAGATTATGCAACAGGGAAGAGTTAAATTCACTTTGTAACTTAATTAAGTATGTAGAAGTGATAGAGAAGGCCATATTTCATGGCATTAAAAACATCAAATATCCAAACTGTGATGGTTCTTTTGGATGCATATTGGACTTATAGTCTTGCTGGACGAGTGCATGTGCAAAAACTATAGGGTCCCAATTTTTGTCTTGCTTGCCAGTTTATAATGTTGACTTAAAATGGCCTTCTTGTCATTTGACCAACTTCATTGTTTACTGTAATGTCTGTAGATTCTTTAATCATCATCATGACTCAATGTGCTGTGTATTATATTAGATATGAGTTGTGAAAAAAATTTTAATTGTAATACTCGAGTTCTCTTGTTTTGTTTCACAAGCTTATCCAAGATTTACTGAAAAGTTTGCCACAAATGTTTACCAAGACTTTGGAGACCCAGAGTGCCTTGGGTCCTGCACTTCAGGCTGCCTTTAAGCTGATGTCCCCAACTGGTGGCCGGATGTCTGTCTTTCAAACACAACTCCCAACTCTTGGAGCAGGAGCCCTGAAGCCACGAGAGGAACCCAACCAAAGGTCATCTGCTAAGGTTAGGAAGTCATCAAATGTATAAGATTTATGCTGGTGTTCTATCCCTTTGACCACAGAGCTTGTTCTTCTAAATTTATTTTTCATTTGTAGGGAGAAAGGCAATAGGTAAAAATTTTCACTTCAATATAGACGGTACCTTTTTTTTTTTTTGTCCCATGGAGTATGTGCACTCACTGGAGAGAGACTGCCAGAGACAGTGAGAGGGAAAGTGAAAAATCATCCCGTGGGGAGAATTGGCACACCTCAATTCCTTCTCTTCCATTCTCCTTCTGGGATTTTGGGCATGCATGCACACGTGCCCAGCATGATTTTCAAGTCACTAGGGGTGGGACTTGAGCCATGGTTGGCCATGTGCGAGTCCATCACCTTAACCACCACACCACCTGCTAGCTCCAACATTACTATGTTCTTACATTTTTTTTCTACCTGACTCACTCATAACTTAATTTTTTTTTTAAAGAGAGATTTTTGCTATAGGGTATGTATGTTCACTAGAGAGATAGAAAGAGACAAGACAGAAAGCAAGACATCACCTCCCCCATCCCCTGCCGGGGGCGGGGAGGGGCGGGGTTGGCCACGCTGTAGCTCCCTCTCATCCATTCTCTTCTCAGGGTTTTGTCCACACATGCACACAAGCCTGGTGTGAGTTTCAAGCCACTGGCTCTGGGATTCACACCGACTAGAGAGATAGAAAGAGACAAGACAGAAAGCAAGACATCACCTCCCCCATCCCCTGCCGGGGGCGGGGAGGGGCGGGGTTGGCCACGCTGTAGCTCCCTCTCATCCATTCTCTTCTCAGGGTTTTGTCCACACATGCACACAAGCCTGGTGTGAGTTTCAAGCCACTGGCTCTGGGATTCACACCGCACTCAGCTATATGGGAGTCCAGCAATGTAATCATTATGCCGTCTGCTGCTCCCCACTCTTACCTTATTTTTAATTGTCTTTAGTAGGCTGATAATAATCTAGCCTGTCTTTAATGAGGAAGTCTGGGACACTGAGAGAATCTGCCTGCTAGGGACAAAATAGAACCTGATGACTACTTAGAAATGGTCACAGTTTATTAAACTAATAGACATAGATTGTTTTTAAGCACTTTATGGACAGAAGCTTAGAATTTGAGAACTGTATTTTCCAAAAGATTATGAGAGAGATCAGTATGTAATCGGAGTCAGGATATCACTTCTGGAAATAAGACTGCCTAAGTTTCACTGCTTAGTAGATGGTATGAACTTCAATAATTAGTTCATCTATTTGCTTTTATTTACTTATGTATTAAGTGAAAATAATGATAGTGTGCACCTCTCAGGGTATTTAAAAGAACTAAGTAGATTCATATGAACTGTTTAAAACATTTTCTAACTGAGCATTTTTTTTTCTTTTTTTGGAGAGGTTTTTGCTATAGGGCGCGCGTGCTCGCCAGAAAGCCAGAGAGAGACAGAGAGAGATAAAGAAATCCCCCCCCCGGGAGGATGGCCATGCCACAATCCCTTCTCCATTCTCCTCTCGGGATCTTGGGCACGCATGCACACGTGCCCGGCGTGAGTTTAAACCACCAGGTCCAGGACTCAGACCATGGTTGACTATATGGGAGTCCAGTGGCATAGCATTATGCTAACTGCTGGTCCCCCAACTGAACATTTAATAGATTTTAGTTACAATAAAATCTTAGTCCACTATGAAATTAATTAAATAAATATATTTTTTAAAGTGAAAAAAATACAAAATTCTTAAGCACTGTGTGCTTCTTAATGAGTAAAATAATGTAACAAAGCAAAAGGATTTTGTAGACTGTCTGGAGATAATTGTTTTAACACCTTGGTATATATATTAGGTCATCGGGAAAGTCATGATGCATTTTTGCATAGAAAAGCATAGATAGGGGCTGGTAGGTAGTATGGTGGTTAAAGGTGCTGGACTCCCATCCCACATGGCTGACCGTGGTTCGAGCCCCAGACCTGGCAGCTTGCTGCTTGCTTTCTTACTTTTCCTTTCTATCTCTCTCTCTCTATCAGTGGTCAAACTAAAGACTAATAATAATAAATAAAATAAAATAAATAATTGTTTACAAAAAATAAAAGCATAGATAAATATGTTATGACTTTCCCAATGACCCAATAGATGTGAATTTAAATTTTATGACAATTTAATGATTTGTTTAAATTTTAAAATTATGATTCTGATTCACAAATAATCATTGTACACCTTTGTGAGGCATAGTTTAGTTTTTCAAGGCACATATATAGTGTGTCACAAATCGAGGATATAGATATATTCATTGCCTTTAACATTGAACATTAAATAATGCTATACACATTTGGTAGCAGTTCTACAACAATTTAATTATTTTTTTTTCTGTTTGTAACTTAATAATAGGATATACACCTGACGCCATCCACAGACTTCTATAAAAAATTAGCCTTGGACTGTTCTGGTCAGCAGGTAGCTGTTGACTTATTTCTTCTCAGTGGACAATACTCCGATTTGGCTTCTCTGGGTAAGTTTTTTCTCATTTTTTTTCTTAAAAGGGTAACGATAATATATGATCATAGTCTAAGCTGAAGGTAAAAATAAATCAATTATTCCTTTTGGAGAGTTAATCAGTCAGTTTAGTGCATTATAAACCTTATAGTCTCTAAACATGTACTAATAGAATATTAAGTTCTATACTGCTATTTAAAAGAATGAAATATTCTTCGTTAATTTTGTTACAGCACACATGCACTCACTGGAGAGAGATGAGGGTGGGGGAGTGAGAAAGCACCCTCCACAGGTGAGGGTTATACTGTAATCCTGTCTTCTTTATTTCTCCTTTTTGGGATTTTGGACAGGTACACATGAGCCTAGAGTGTTTTTTCAAGCCACTGGGTTGGGACCCAAACCTTGCATTCAGCCATGTGGGAAATCCAGCTGCCTAACCACCATGCCACTAACTGACCCAAAATATTCTTCTAGACAATACCTTGGGAAGTTAAAGAAAGATAATACAGGACTGGCAACTTGATCTAGTGGTTGAAAGAGACAGATCCCACATGACTGGCCATGATTCCAGTCCTGACCCTGGCAGCTTGAAAAACATACTAGACGTGTGTACCTGTGTGCTCAAAATCTCAACAAAATAGAGACATGGAGGAGAAGGATTGTGGCACGACCATGCCCTTTCAGGGAGTGCTTTTTCCTTGTCTCTGATAATTTAGTATTTAGCAATTTAAAAAAGGAAAAGAAAGATCGATTCAAATGCCTGTAGTTGCTTTGGTATGCTGATTGCATTTGATGACTCAATTTAAAAGGAGAGCATATTTTTCTTCCAGGTTGTATATCTCGGTATTCAGCAGGCAGTGTCTATTACTATCCCTCTTACCATCATCAGCACAACCCAGTTCAAGTACAGAAATTACAGAAAGAGCTACAGAGATACCTCACTCGAAAGATTGGCTTTGAGGCAGTCATGAGGATTCGATGCACCAAAGGTGGGGATGCTTTTTTTTTAAAACATAGAAATAAATGTTGGTTTTGGTACCTATAAATATACATATTTTCACCCAGTCTTAAAAGATTTGCCCTTCTGAGACCAGCAGTTGGCATAATGGTTATTTTGCTGGACTCTCATGTAGTTAACCGTGGTTCAAGTCCAGGACCTGGTGGTTAAACTCACGCTGGGCATGTGTGCGTGCGTGCCCAAGATCCCGAGAGGAGAATGGAGGAGAACAGACTGTGGCATGACCTTCTCCCCTGGGGGATGATTTCTCATTTTCTATCTCTCTGTCTCTCTCTGACTTTCTGGCGAGCACATGCGCCCTATAGCAATAACCTCTCAAAAAAAAAAAAAAATTGCCCTTCTAAGATATTTTGCTGACTCTGATGGAATATGCAATTAAGAGACACAGTTAAAAAAAAAATAAGGACTGTGGGCCAGTAAACAGTATGGTTGTTAGAGTGGCTGGATCTTGCGACTTAAAGCAGTTTGAGTCCTGGACCTGGTGACTTGAGAGGCACACCAGGCATGTATGTGTGCAATTCCAAAATCCCAAGAGGAAAATGGAGGAGAAGGGATTGTGGAGTGGCCTTACCCCCACCCCCAGGGGGTGCTTTCTCAATTTTTTTCTTTCTCTCTCTGTCTCTCTTGAGAGCATACACACCTTCTGACAATTTTTTTTAAATGGGGACTATTGTGAATATATTAAAAACTACTGAATTGGAGGCCAGCAAGTGGTGTAATGTTTAAGGCACTGGACTCCCACATGGCCGACCATGGGTTGCAGCCTGGATCTGGCAGCTTGAAACTCACACCAAGCTCATGTGTATGCATTCCCAAAATTCTGAGAGGAGAATGGAAGAGAAGGGATTGCAGTGTGGCCATCCATCCTGGGGGTGGTTTCTCACTTTCTCTCTCTCTCTCTCTCTCTCTCTCACTCTCATGAGCACACATGCCCTATAGCAGAAATCTCTCTAAAAACAAAATTAAAAAAAAAAAAACTACTGAATTGTATACTTTAAAATAGTTTATTTTGGAGCCATCAGGTGGTGTGGTGGTGGTTAAGGGCACTAGACTCGCACATAGCTGACCGTGGTTCAAGTTCCAGACCTGGCAGCTTGCTTTCCTACTTTCCCTCTTTCTCACTCTGTCCCTCTCTGATCAAAATGAAAAACAATAAATCAATGAATAAAATAATTCTTTAAAAAATTGTTTCTCTTGTATGTATATGAATTATCTCAATTAAAAAAAAAGACCCATGTGCCCAAAGAAAATATATTACTGATGGATTCTTTTTAATTTTATGAAATAAAAAAATTTTATAAGACTTATTTATTTTGGGGGCAGCAGGTGGCATGGTATTTAAGGGAGCTGGACTCCCTCATTGCTGACCATGGTTTGAGTCCCAGAACGTGGTGACTTGCTCTCTCACTTTTTTTTCTCTGTCCCTCTTTCTCTCTCTCTGTCTGTTTCTGGTCAAATTATTAAAATAAGTAAAGTCAGGACCAGCAGGTAGCGTGGTGGCTAAGGGGTTGGACACTTCCACATGGCCAACCACGGTTCAAGTCCCGAACCTGGTGGCTTGCTTTCTCACTTTCTCTTTTTCTCTCGCTCTCTGTGTCTCTCTGACCAAATTAAAAATGAATGAATGAATGAATGAATGAATGAATAAAATAATTGCTTATAAATAAAGTCAAATAAAATAATTATTTAAAAATGAATTTTTAATTTTATTAATAATTATTATTTATTTTAATTTGCTATAGGGTAAATGCATTCACCAGAGAAAGACAGAGGCAGAGACAGAGAGGAGCAAGTGAGAAAACAAGCTGCTAGGTCTAGTATTTGAACTGTGGTCAACAATGTGGGAGTCCTGTGCCTCAACCATCATGCCACCTGCTGGCCCCTACTGATAAAGATTTTTTTTTTTTTAAGAAAGGTTTTTGCTGTAGGGCACATGTGCTCACTGGAAAGAAAAAGAGAGAGAGACAGAAAGCGAGAAATCACCCCCCAGGGGGTATGGCCATGCCGCAATCCCTTCTCCTCCATCCTCCACTCAGGATCTTGGGCACACATGCACACGTGCCCAGTGTGACTTTAAGCCACTGGGTCCAGGGCTTGAACCGCGGTCGACTACATGGGAGTCCAGCGACATAGCCATTACACTAACTGCTGGTCCCAAAGTTTGATTTTTTTAAAGAATTATTTTATTTAACTTTATTTATTTTTTATTTATTTATCTAATTTTACCAGAGAGGGACAGAGTGGGGGCGGGGGGGGTACAGTTTGAGAGCAAGCCACTAGGTCCAGGACTCAAACTGCAATCGGCCATGTGGGAGTCCAGTGCCCTTAATAATCATGCCACCTGCCAGCCTCAATTTTAATTTTATTATTATTTTTAATTTACTGTAGGACATGTGTGCTGACCACAAAGAGAGAGAGAAAGTGAGAAAGCAAGCCTCCAGGTCCAGAACTCAAGCTGTAGTCAGCCAAGTGGGAGTCCAGTGACTTAACCATCACACCATCTACTAGCTCCCTCTTTCTCTTTTTTTAACACCAGAGGGCATGTGTGCTTTCCAGAGAGGGAGAGAGAGATAGAAAACACCCCTCATCTGGGCATAGTCACACTGCAGTGCCTTCTCCTCTGTCAGGGTTTTGGACATGTGTGCACATGTGCCTAGCTTCTTTAGGCTGCCAACACCAGGTTTCAAAAGAAGGTCAGCCTCATGTGATTCAGCTCTGTTAACTGTAAGGCCATAGGGCTGGCCCAGTTCAATAAGTCTTGAAGGGCCATTTGTTTTAGTTCATATTAATCTCATTCTTTTTCATATTTGCTTAGCATTTAGTAGAATGGACTAATCACAAATTATTTTTCTTTGAATAGCTATTGATGGCAGTTTTGCTGTAACAAATTGGTCCATTTTTAAAAATTAAAAAAAAAATTTTTTAACATGTGAGACCAGCAGATGACATAATGGTTATGTTGCTGGACTCCCATGTAGTCGACCACAGTTTGAGTCTCGGACCTGGTGGCTTGAAACTCATGCAAGGCGCATGTATGTGTGTACCCAAAATCTTGAAAGGAGAATGAAGAAGGGAATGCTGTGGCCATCTCCCGGGGGGTGATTTCTTGCTTTCCCTCACTTCCTTTATCTGTCTCTCTCCAGCTAGTGCAAACATCCTATGTAAAACCTAATTTAAAAACAAAAAGAGAAGTAGAAGATACCTATTGGGGCTAGCAGGTGGCATGATAGTTAAGGCAATGGATTCCCACATGGCCAACTGTGATTTGAGTCCTCTCAGGCTTGGTGATTTGCTTTGCTTTCTCATTTTCTCACCCCGTGTCCCTGCCCTGTCTCTCTGGTGAGCACACATGCCCTATAGCAAATTAAATAATAATGATATAATAATAAAATTAATGAAAGATAACCCTCAACCTCACTAATTACTGTGTGTATATAAACTATTTTACTTTCTGTCAATCTGATAAGTGACTACAAGATGTAAATACCCACATGTAGTGGGTATATATAACTCATTTTGATTATTTTTTTCTTTTCTAGGTCTTTCCATTCATACTTTCCATGGAAACTTCTTTGTTCGGTCAACAGACTTACTGTCTTTGCCCAATGTCAACCCAGATGCTGGGTATGCAGTACAGATGTCAGTAGAAGAAAGTCTTACTGACACTCAGTTGGTTTCTTTTCAGTCAGCACTCCTGTATACATCCAGCAAAGGTAAGTTTTGAGTTTTTCTTTATTTAGAAATTTGTTTTCCCGGACCGGCCCCGTGGCCTTGTAGTTAAGAGAGCTAAGCCCATGCAGCTTACTATACAGTTCAAATTTATCCTTGGCCTCTTTTTTTTTTTTTGGAGAGATTTTTTTTTTTTTCCGCTATAGGGCGTGTGCACTCGCCAGACAGACAGAGAGAGACATAGAGGCAAAAAGCGAAAAATCACCCCCCAGGGGGGATGGTCACGCCACAATCCCTTCTCCTCCATTCTCCTCTCGGGATCTTGGGCACGCACGCACACGCGCCCGGCGTGAGTTTTAAGCCACCGGGTCCAGGACGTGAACCACGGTCGACTATGTGGGAGTCCAGCGACATAGCCATTACACTAACTGCTAGTTCCCATAGCCTTGGCCTCTTGAAACTTAGACCAGGCTTGTGTACATGCCCAAAATCCCAAAAGGATGGTGAAAAGGAGAAGGGATTGGGTATGACTATGTCCCACAGGGGATTGCTTTCTCTCTCTCTCTCTAGTAAGTGCACATACACTATGGAGAAAAAAAAATTCCCTTTATTCATTTTAGAACATTTGTGACATGTGAGAATGTAGAGTGGGGATACATGAAGGGGAGAGGCATCCTTTACAGGGTTTGGTCATGCTGTGATAACCTTCCTCCAGCCTATTGGATCTTGGGCACTCACATGTGCACCTGGTCTAGTTTAGGCTGATTAGGTGAGCAATTCAAACTGTGATTGCATTGTGGGATCTGGCTTCTTTTCTGCAGCACATTACTGCTGCGTCGTGGAGCTGGCCCAAGTTTGATTTTATTCATAAGACAGAAAGTGAGAAATCACCCTCCTGCAGAGATGGCCACACTGCAATCCCTTCTCCATTCTCCTCTCAGGGTTTTGGGCACGCATGCACAGCATGAGTTTTTCTTTTCTTTTTAAAGAATTATTTAACTATTTATTTTTAATTTTTTGACCAGAGAGGGACAGAGAGAGAGAGAGGAAAAGTGAGAAAGCAAGCCGTCAGTTCCAGGACTTGAACCACAGTCAGCCATGTGAGAGTCTAGTATCCTTAACCACCACACCACTGCTGCCTCCTGCCCCCCCCACCGCATGAGTTTTTAAGCCAGCAGGTCCAGAACTCAAACCACAGTCGACTATGTGGCAGTCCAGTGATGAAACCATTATGCCATCTGCTGGTTACTTTTCTTTTTTTTCTTGAAGAGGTTTTTGCTATAGGAGGCGTACACTCCCCAGACAGACAGAGACAGACAGAGAGACAGAAAGCGAGAAATCACCCCCCAGGGGGAATGGCCATGCTGCAGTCCCTTCTCCTCCATTATCCTGTCAAGATCTTGGGCACGAACGCACACGCGCCTGGCATGAGTTTAGGCCACTGGGTCCAGGATGCGAACCACCGTCGACTACATGGGAGTCCAGCGACATAGCCATTACGCTAACTGCTGGTCCCCATCTGCTGGTTTCTTAATTAGTAATTTTTATTAACAGTCATTAAATGTGTTTTTTTCAGTCCATGAATACATTATATTGTAATTCAATCAGGGTAATCAGTATATATCGGTCACCTCAACCATTTGTAACATTATATGTAGTAGATTATCCACCACATTCTCCCCACTCCATTTTTTTTTTTTAACTTTATTTATTTTATTTTGACCAGAGAGAGACAGAGCAAGAGAGAGAGAGAGGGAAAGTGAGAAAGCAAGCTGCCAGGTCCAGGACTCAAACTGGAGTTGGCCATGTAGGAGTCCAGTGCCCTTAATCATGATGCCACCTGCCAGCCACTCCCCACTATATTTTATAACTCCAGACACTCTTCCTTTTTTTTTTTTTTTTCTTAAGAGAGATTTTTGCTCTAGGGTACATGCACTCAACCAAAGAGAGAAAGTGAAAAGTCACCTCCCTCCCCCAGGAAAATTGACACTGAAATCCCTGCTCCTCTATTTCTCTTGGGATTTTGGGCACGCATACGCATGGGCCTGATGCAAGTTTCAAGCTGCCATGCCCAAGACTCAAACTGTGGTTGGCCATGTGGGAATCTAGTGTCTTAACCACCACTTCATCTGCTGGTCCCACCAGACATTCCTTCTGTCTGTTTGTAATTTATTTCCATTAATTGCTATCTCTCTGTCCTCTCCTAACCCCATTCTTCCCAGGATCCACTCGTTATTCTGTCTACCCAGTACTAAATTGAAAAGTTGTTTTTTATAGTAACTGTAACATAATCTTTAATGCGGTTGTCTTTTACTGTCATCTGTGTATTTTCCCCAAAGGTGAAAGAAGAATTCGTGTTCATACTTTGTGCTTGCCAGTAGTTTCAACTCTGAACGAAGTCTTTCTTGGAGCCGATGTTCAAGCAATTTCAGGGTTATTGGCCAATATGGGTAAGTGTTGTTACCACCTCTTGTAAATACGTTGCAAGTGATAGCATTAAGCATAACATTTGTTTTCTTCAAATAATTAACTTTATGGATTTCAATGTTTTGTATTCTTTGCTTACTATATAAATATTAGAATGAAAGGATCTGTTGCATATGATAATCTTATGGTAGTTTTTCTTTAAACAGCTTTATTGAGATATAATTACATACCTTACTACTTCACCTATTTTTTTAAGGGTTGTACCATAGGGTGTGTGTGCCAGAGAGGATAGAGACAGTGAGAGGGGAAGTGAGAAATCACCCCCCAGGGAGGATGGCCATGCTGCAATCCTTTCTCCTCCATTTTCCTCCCAGGACTTTGGGCACACACACACATACATGCCAGTGTGATTTCTTTTTCAATCCTTTCTCCTCCATTTTCCTCCCAATTTACTTATTTATTTGTTTGCTTATTTTAATTGGACCAGAGAGAAAGAGGGAAGGTGAGAAAGCAAGCCACCAGGTCCAGGACTTGAACTGTGTCTAGCCTTGTGGAAGTCCAGCACCCTTAACAACCATGCCATCTGCCAGCACCACACACCCCTCCCTCCCCCCGGTATGATTTTCAAGCTATTAGGTTCAGGACCCAAACCACGATCAGCCATGTGGGAGTCCAGCACCTCAGCCTTCCCCTCGGAGGGGATGGCCATGCTATAATCCCTTCTCCATTCTCCTCTTGGGATTTTAGACACACACACACACGGGTTTCAAGCCACTGGGTCCAGCCACTTGAACCACAGTTGACTACGTGGGAGTCCAGCAGTGTAACCGTTATGTCATCTGTTGGTCCCAACTGCTTTTAAGTATTATTTTGGTTACAGTATGATAATTCCTATTATCATTATTATTAATGGTCAAAACAATCAGGCAGTATTTGTGTAGATTTTCTTTTCCTCTCTTTTTTTAAGAGAGATCTTTTGCTATAGGGCATATGCACTCATTAGAGAAACAGAGAGACAGAGACAGAAAGCAAGAAGTCACCCGCTCACCTCCCAGAAGGGATGGCCACACCACAATCCTTTCTCCTCTATTCTCCTCTCAGGATCCTGGGCATACATGCACATACGCCCAGCATGAGTTTTAAGTCGCTGGGACCAGGACTTGAACCACAGTTTACTATGTGGGAGTCCAGCGACATAGCCATTATGCCAGCTGCTGGTCCTAGTATTTGTGTAGATTTTTGCTATAGGGCACATGTGCTTGCTAGAGAGAGACAGAGAGAAAGTGAGAAATCACCCCCTTATGGAGGTGCCCATGCCACAGTCTCTTCTCCCTTCTTTGGCATTTTGGACACGCAGACATATGTACTCTGTGTGTTTTTCATGCTGGCCGGTCAGGACTCAAATCATGAGTCCTGAGTTGGATCCAGCTGCCTTAACCTCCATGCCACTGGCTGGCCCATCACATTATTTTAAGTATTGGTTGTACTATTATATTTAGTAACTAAACATTTTTCATCTTATCATTTCATCATCCCATCATTTTATCATCTTTAAAATCAAGATATGTCTTCAGTTGATAGGGTTGTAGAGTTACTTTTGACCAGATAATAATAACACTCTTCATTTTTTTCTGCCTATATGTAAACTTTGCTCATCGCAGATAACAACGTCACTTAATTGAATTTAGTTTTGGTATTACATTAAGTTTGGTTGAAGTTTGAGAAGTCTTCAGAATAATTTTATCCTGGGGACCAGCAGTTTGCATAATGGCTATGTCGCTGGACTCCCATGTAGTCAACCGCAGTTCGCATCCTGGACCTGGTGGCTTAAACTCAGACCAGGCATGTGTGCATGCATGCCCAAGATCCTGAGAGGAGAATGGAGGAGTAAGGGATTGCGGTGTGGCCATCCCCCCAGAGGGTGATTTCTCGCTTTCTGACTCTCTGTGTCTTTCTGGCAAGTGCACACACCCTATAGCAAAAACTTCTCAAAAAAAATACTGTTTTTAGTATTAACAAAGTTTTGGGCTAACAGATGGCATAGTGGCTCAGATACTAGATCTCACATAGCTGACTCCACAGTTCGAGTCCCAGACATGGCACCTTGAAATGCCAGCTGCATGTATTTGCATGCCCAAATCCTGAGAGGAGAATGGAGGAGAAGGAATTCCAGCCTTGCCAACCTCCCAGGAGGCAGGGGGGATTTCTCACTTCCCCTCTTTCTTTGTCTTTCGGGTGAGCACATGCACCCTATATCAAAAACCTTAAAAAGAAAAGGTTTTGAGTAGGGGTCAGATAGTGGTATGATAAAACATGACCCATGTGGAAGGACTCCACCTTCGCATCCAGAGACCTTCTTGAATACTCCAGGCATACACGTGCTCATCATGATCCAGGCCATGTAGCTGAGAGCAGGTTGCAGTATCAGGACTCTGTTGAGTTTCTCTCTCTCTCTCTATTACTCACGGAAGAAATAAACTTTTAAAAAAAAATTGAGTACTCAGAAATGTATATAAACAGAATGGTGCAACAGATGATGATCTGCCTTTAACTATCTAAGAGCTCTTCCTGTAAGTTTAAATATAAACTCTGTGAAAGCAAAGCACAGTAAGTTTACTTGGAGCATTTTTTTCTTTTCTAGTAGTAGTCTAAATAAAATGCTACATTAAAATCAATAGCATTTTAGAGTCAACAAATACAATTTTCCCATTTTACAGAAAAAGAAATTAAGACTCAAGAAAATTAAGTTAAGTACCAAATTGTCATATAGTTAGGAAATAGCAGAGCATTTCAATAGAGGTTGGTTTGATTCTCCAGAGCTTGCTTTTAACTGCTATATGGTTTGGTTCATTGTGTATGTAATAAATGAAGAGACTTAATATAGTTTTTTAAATTAATTAACGGGTGACTTTTTTTTTCTTTTTTTCTTTTTTTTTTTTTTTTTTAAGTTTTTGCCATAGGGCTCATGAGATTGCCAGAGAGAGACAGAGGGAAAGTAAGAAATCATTCCCTGGGAGGGATAGCCATGCCTCAATTGCTTCTCCCTTCTTCTCTTGGGATTTTGGGCCAACAGGCACATATGTCCAGCAGGATTTTCAGGCTGCTAGGCCCAGTACTCCAACCGTGGTCACCCATGTGGGAGTCTAGCACCTTAATTGCCATACTACCTATTGGCTCCAGTATAGTTTTTTTTTTTTTTCTTTTAAGGTGTTTTGCCATAGGACATGTGTGCTCCCCAGAGAGAAACAAGATAGAGACAGTGAGAGGGAAAGTGAGAAATCACCCCTAAGGGGTGATGGCCACGCCACAATCCCTTATCCATTCTCCTTGGATTTGGGGCATGTACACATATGCACCCAGGTTGATTTTTCTAGCCGCTAGGTCTGGGATTTGAACCATGATTGGCCATGTGGACATTCAGCATTTTAACCACTACACTATTTGCTGGCCTCTCCAATTTAGATTTAAACAATAATCTCTTCTGAGGCCAGCAGGTGATATGGTGGTTAAGGTGCTGTTCAAGTCACGGACCCAGAGGCTTGCTTATTCTCTCTCTTTCTCTCTCTCTCTCTTTCTTGCACGCGCACACGCACATGTGCCCTATAGCAAATTTAAAAATGATGATAGGATAGGGATCAGCAGATGGCATAATGGTTACGTTGCTGGACTCCCATGTGGTCAACTACTATTTGAGTCCAGGTCTCATTGGCTTAAAACTCACACTGGGCGCATGTATATGTGTGGCCAAAATCCCAAGAGGAGCCTGAAGAAGGGATTGCAATGTAGCCAGCCCCCAATGGGGATGATTTCTCACTTTTTATCTCTGTCTCTCCAGCAAGCACATGTGCCCTATAGCTAAAATCTCACTAAAAATGATGATGATGATGATGATAAATAAAATTGAATAATTATTTAAATTAAAAAAAAAACCTCTTCTGTCCTTAACAGTGAAGTAGCTAAACATCTATTTTATTCATCTTTTCCCTCCACTTTCACCTCAATCAGCTGTTGACAGGTCCGTGACTGCCAGTTTGAGCGATGCTCGGGATGCTCTAGTGAACGCTGTCATCGACTCCCTGTCAGCTTACCGTTCTTCAGTCCTGAGTAGTCAGCAGCCTGGACTCATGGTTCCTTTCTCCTTGCGGCTTTTCCCACTTTTTGTGTTGGCTCTTCTTAAACAGGTAAGAGAAGCAAAAATAGAAACTAACAGTGAAAACATCAAAAGCCAAAATTATTATCTTATGAATCCTTAAACTTGTATATGTAACATTAAGTCAGTTAAACTTTATGAAGACTGGGACCTTACCTCTTATTTGAACCTGGAAGGAATTTATATCCAAAGAAAGTTACAAATAACTCATTTAAAGCAAGTCCTTATTCGTAAAAGTGCATATTAAGTGAAGTATTCAGTGATGTTATCAAAAGTTCAGATGATAATTCGTTTTCCAAAACAGAAATTGCATACCTTATTGATGGTACCGGAAGGCGGACATGCTCTGCAGAGCGTACATGCACCACTTGTTCTGACTTAGTGTGGAAGCTCAAAATATCAGACACATAGAAGCAAAGAGCAGAATGGAGTTGACAGAGGCTGGAAAGTGAGAGGAATAGAGAGATGTTGGTTCAGGGATGCAATGTTTTAGTTAGATAGAGAAGAATAAAGTATAAGTACTTTGGGACACTGGATATGATGGCTTGATTTAATCATTTCATGTTGTATGCTATATCATAGCATCATTTTGTATTCCGTAAGTATATAGAGTTATAATTTGGCACAAATAAAGATTATTAAAAAACAGAAAGGCCCACTGCATGATACAGTGGTAGTGCAGTACTGGAGGCCATTTGGAAGATAGGGGTTTGGTTCGTTGGTCAGCCTTTAAATACCAGGAGCACAGCCCTTCTGATGATCCTGGGAAAGGCTGGGGGTAGGATCGTGACCTGAGTCCCTAGTAAGAGTGCTTGTCTTTCTCTCTCTCTCAAGAAGAAAATTTTTTTAATAATTATTTTATTTATTTATTTATTTATTTATTTATTTTTAGTTTGACCAGAGAGATACAGAATGAGAGAGAGTGAGAGAGATGGAAAGTGACAAAGCAAACCACCAGGTCCAGGACTCAAACCGTGGTTGGCCGTGTGGGAGTCTGGCGCCTTAGCCACCATGCCACCTGCCAGCCCCAAGAAGGAAATTTTTTAAAAAGACAAGACACACACATGACATTATTTTCTTGGCTCTTTCCTGCACCCTACTATATTTCAGTAACATCTCACTCCTTAGTCTTCAAATGTGCTGTCTCAAACCTGTATGCCGATTTTCGTGGCCTTGACTGCACTTTCGTGGTTTTTTGTTTTTTCCTTTTTATTTTCTTAGCTGAAATGTTTTATCTCTAGCAGTTGCTTCTGTGGTTCTTTGGGCTTAACTTTGTTTAGTTTTTCATCTGATACTTAAATCTCACCTGCCTGCTTCTTATCCTTACCCCTGCCTCCCCAAAAAAGAAAGACTAATGAAATAGGCTTATTTATCTGGTGTCCGAGATTTAATGTCCAAGCTTATAGACGTAGGGTAATCTTCCCTTACAAATTTTTATTTAAAAGCTTATGTCAATGAATTTTCTGAGTAGCCAGCTCATAGTCTGGTGGCTAAGCGACCTAGATCCCATAAGTGGCCAACAACTTAAATCAAGTTCTGGATTTGGCAGCTTAAAAAGCATGTTGGGCATGTGTGCATGTGTGTCCAAAATCCCAACAGGATGGAAAAATGGAAGAAAAAGGAGTGGTGTGACTGTTTCGTATGGGGGTGCTTTCTCCCTCTCACTACTCCACCTCCCCACCCCACCCCCATCTCTCTCTGGCAAGCATATGCACCATCTGGCAAAGTAAAAAAATAAAAGATAAAACTCCTGAGGAAGTAGTCCAGAACGACTAAGGCTTCCCTGAGTTGTGAAAACTTCTGTGTTTTTCTGAATTCCAGGATCAGCTCTTTAGTGTGTATAGTCTCTTCCAGGTGAGAAGGGTAACTTGTACTTGGCAATAGGAATGGCTTAAATATATTGTTATGGTTTCCTTTCTTTTACCTTTCTGTCTTCCTTTCTTTTTTAAGCATACATTTTTGCCCATCTCCACATGCACGAGAGAGAGAGAGAGACAGAGACAGAGAGACAGAGACCATGAGAGGGAAAGTGAGAAATCACCCTCCAGGGGGGCTGACCACACACAATCCCTTCTCCATTCTCCTCCTGGAATCTTGGGCACGCATGTATACACATATGCCCCATGTGAGCTTCAGGCCACTGGGTTTGGGACTCAAACTGCAGTTGACTGTGGGAATTTAGCAATGTAACTGCTACACCATCTGCTGGTCCCTCTTTTTTCTTTTTTAAGATATTTTTGCTATAGAGTGCATACACTCACTGGAGTGAGAGACAGAGAGACAGAAAGTGAGAAATCCCTCTCCCCAGGTGGGTGGCCATGCTACAGTCTCTTCTCCATATTACTCAGTATTTTGAGCACATGTGCACACATGCCCATCATGAGTTTCAAGTCACCGGGTCCAGGACTCAAAATGAGGTTGACCACATGGGAGTCCAGTGTTTTAACCACCATGCCACCTGCTGGCCCCTCTTTCTTCCTTTATTAATATTTTTTTGTTTACTTATTCTGTGAAGAAGATAGAGAAAGAGAGATGATACCCGAACAGGTTCTTGGTGCCATGATTCACTCAGCCTTCAGTCAGCCCTGGGTCATGGGCAAGAGTGTGCCCAGGTACTCAGGGAGGCCTTTAGACTTTAACCGGGGGGGACCAGCAGGTGGTGTGGTGGTTAAGGCGCTGGACACTCCCACATGGCCGACCAGGGTTCAAGTCCTAAATCTGGTGGCTTGCTTTCTCACTTCCTCTCTCTCTCACTCTCACCCTCTGTCTCTCTCTGGTCAAATTAAAAAAATAAATGAATGAAAAAATAAAATAATTTTTAAAAATTTAGACTTTAACTGGGAACCATCCCATGTGAGATTGCCTTGCAGAGTATTGTATGTTACACTGCCAGTGTCTGGCCCTGGTTTTTTTAATTCAAATGATGTATTGTATTTCTCAATATAATTGTGCACAGATTACATAAATATTTAAATTTTAGCATTTAAAAATTGGAGCCCTGGGACCAGCAAACGGCATGGTGGTTAAAGTGCTGGGCTCTCACATGGCTGACTATGATTCAAGGTCCCATTTGCTTTCTCACTTTCTGTCTCTCTCTGGTGAGCATATGTACTCTGTAGCAAATTAAAAAATAGTAATAGGGGCCAGCAGGTGGTGTAATGGTTAAGGCGCTGTATTCTCATGTGGCCAATCTTTATTCAAGTCATGCCACAATCATTTTTTTTAACAATTATTTATTTACTTGTTTATTAATTATTATTATTATGTTATTTTAACCAGAGAGAGAAGGAAAATGAGAATGCAAGTTACCAGGTCCAGGACTTGAGCCATGTTGGACCATGTGGGATTCCAGTGCTTTAACTACCACATCACCTGCTGGCCCCATCATGCCTCACTCTTATCCTCCACTTCCTGTCAGGATTTGGGTGTACAAGCAATGCACCCAGCATGTGTTTCTTAATTCTTTTTAAAAAAAAAAAAAAAGATTCAGGGACCAGCAGATGGCGTAATGGCTATGTCACTGGACTCCCATGTAATCCGCCACCATTCAAGTCCTGGACCTGGTGGCTTAAACTCACACTGGGTGCGTGTGCGTGTGTACCCAAGATCCCAAGAGGAGAATGAAGGAGAAGGAATTACAACGTGGCCATCCCCTCGAGGGGAGAGGAGCGGTTTCCTTGCTTTCTGTCTCTCTTTCTGGCAAGCACACACGCCCTGTTTAAAAAAAAAAAAAAAGATTCAGTATTCTTAGTGTAGTTGTTAAGACACTGGACTTCCACATGGCTGACTGAGGTTTGGGTCCCGCCTGGCAGCTTACTTTCTTATTTTCCCTCTCTTTTTATCTCTCTCTGTTCTAATTAAAAATAAATAAATAGGGACCAGCAAATGGTGTAATGGTTATGTCTCTGGACTCCCACATAGTTGACCACAGTTTGAATCCTGGACCGAGCAGCTTAAAACACGCTGGGCGCATGTGTGTGTGTGCACGTGCCCAAAATTCTGAGAGGAAAATGGAGAAGGGATTGAGGCATACCCATCCTTCCTGGTGTGGGGGGTGATTTCTTGCTTTCGTTCTCTCTCTACCTCTCCACCGAGCTCATGCACCCTGTGGAAAAATCTCTCTAAAAAAAGATATAATTAATTAATTTACTAATGGATAAATAAAATGAAATAAATCTGTTTTTAAAATTTCATTATTCTTCACAAAGCTAATGTATCAGTTAAATCTCATAATTGCTTATTAACTCTATTCCAGTAAACAGCTGTCTTTTATTTGTGTTATTGTTTTTTCCTCAGTGGTTTATGAACCGTTTTAATTTCTCTAACCTTGGGGTGAAAAATGAAAGCCACTATTAATCATCTCCCAGCATTTATAGAATACTTAATGGATATCTTTTTTCCTTTTAAGTTTGTTTATTTACTTCTTCCATGAGAGACAGACAAACACCCCTAAATTGATCCATCCCCAGCTAGCGTGGATTACGTGCACACGTGGGTGTGCCCAGTGCACAGGGAGATCTCAGGACACAGACCCATGTGGGGTCAGCATCTCAGCATTGAGCTAACAAGTGCCACCACAGTGGGGCTCAGTGGCTATCTTTTTTGATCCTTCACTTGCTTTATTTTGTTATCTGTAGTATAAAACTTCATCCTTCCTAATGTTGCTTAGGTTGTGACTTCATTGTTACTCTTTGGTAGATACAATGTTTTGATCTATTTTACTGATTTGGAGAACAAACACTAGAGAGATACAATAATGTGCCATGGTCAATTAATTTTTTACAACTTTTAGGTGGGGCCTTAGCCACAATTTAATAGATGTGTATGACTTCTTTTTTTTTTTTTAAGGTTTTTTGCTATAGGGCGCGTGCGCTCGCCAGACAGAGAGAGACATAGAGACAGAAAGCGAGAAATCTCCCACCGGGGGGATGGTCACGCCACAATCCCTTCTCCTCCATTCTCCTCTCGGGATCTTGGGCACGCATGCACACGCGCCTGGCGTGAGTTTTAAGCCACCGGGTCCGGGACGTGAACCGCGGTTGACTACGTGGGAGTCCAGCGATATAGCCATTACGCCAACTGCTGGTTCCCATGTGTATGACTTCTAAAAGATATTTTTGGGGCTGGCAGGTGGTGGGATGGTTAAGGGCATTGGACTCCCACATGGTCTAACACAGTTTGAGTCCTGGACCTGGCAGCTTGCTTTCTCACTTTCTCTCTCTCTCTCCTCCCTCTCTCTCTGTCCTTCTCTGGTCAAATTTAAATAAATAAATAAAGTTAAATAAAATAATTCTTTTTTAAAAAAGATGTTTTTAAAGGTGTAATTAGCAGGAAATATACAGATTTTGTCTGAAAATATTTTTTAACAAATGACATTTACAAATTTATATACTTTTTAATACCTGTTTTTGGGGATGTGGGGTTACTTCTTGCTACAGAAATCATTCCAGACCGGAACAAATGCACGTCTAGATGAACGCATTTTTGCTATGTGTCAAGTGAAAAATCAGCCTTTGGTTTACCTTATGCTCACAACTCATCCCAGCTTGTATAGAGTTGACAATCTCTCAGATGAGGTAAGAATGTTTCTTTCTTTATAGCTTTTACTTGGAGGTTTATAAGCCTAATCATATTCAACCCAGGACAGAAATTAGGAAGAATTTGTTACTGGAAGCTTTATGTTTTATCTCTTTGCCAGATCTATGTTAAGAAATTTTGGTTTACGGAAACTCTTGAAAATAGTGCCCTATTTAAGTTTTCTAAGACAGACCCTTAGAGCATATCTAAAAAATGAATAGGTGATCACATTGACCAGAGCAACCTATTATTTATTTATTTAAACAAATTAATCTGAAAATAATAGCCTGAGAATAAAATTATATGTGAACATCCCAGGTCCAGTGTTTAATGTAACAGTGTCCTTGAATTAAACAAAAAAAATTTATCTAAGTTGTAACATTATTTGTTCTCAATAAGAAATTTACCAGAGTGGGACCAGCAGATGGCGTAGTGGTTACCTCACTGAACACCCACGTGGCCAACTGCGATTCAAGGCCTGGACCTGGTGGCTTCAAACTCATGCCAACCCCATATATATGCCTACCCACAATCCTGAGAGAAGAATGAAGAAGGGATTGCAGTGTGGCCATTCCCCCTCGGGGGTGATTTCTTGTTTTCTGTCTGTAGTAACACATGCGCCTCCAAAAAAGAAAAATTTACCATAGTCATAGTCACAAGCATAACAAGGTTAAATCTTAACCTTTCTAAAATTATGATCGAGTTAAAATATATACACTGAAAGTAATGTTTTGGGGGCCTGAAGGTGGCATGGTGGTTAAGGCACTGGACTCTACCACCACATAGCCAACCATGGTTCGAGTCCCAGACCTTGCATGCTTTCTCATTTTCTCTCTTTCTCTCTCTCCCTCTCTCTCTTTGGTCAGATTAAAAGCTAATAATAATAAATTGGGGCTGTCAGGTGGTGTGGTGGTTGAGGTGCTGGACTCCCACATGGCTGACCATGATTCGAGTCCTGAACCTGGCAGCTTGCCTTCTCACTTTCCCTTTTCCTCTCTGTCTCTCTCTGGTCAAAATAAATAATAACAAATGAAATGAAATAAATAATTCTTTGAAAAAATAATAATAAATAAAAATTTTAAAGAATTATTTTATTTAACTTTATTCATTTATTTATTTTAATTTGACCAAAGAGGGACAGAGTGATTTTTAAAGAAAGTGATGTTTTGGGACCAGCAGTTAGCGTAATGGCTATGTCGCTGGACTCCCACGTAGTCGACCGCGGTTCGAGTCCCGGACCCGGTGGCTTAAACTCACACCGGGCGCGTGTGCGTACGTGCCCAAGATCCCGAGAGGAGAATGGAGGAGAAGGGATTGCGGCGTGGCCATCCCCCCTGGGGGGTGATTTCCTGCTTTCTATCTCTCTGTCTCTCTCTGTCTGTCTGGCGAGCGCACGCGCCCTATAGCAAAAACCTCTCACAAAAAAAAAAAAAAAAAAAAAAAAAGAAAGTGATGTTTTGATTTAAACTTTGAATGTTTAAAGAATTTAATGTATTTTTTTTTCATATATAAAAGAGAAAATGCTGATGAAATTTGAGGTAATATTTTAGCAAATGTAAACTGTTGATAAAGTAATTTATATTACTAAACTATTAGTTCCATATTAATGCTGTTTGACAAGTTCGATTAGCTGGGCTTATTACTTTTTCTCACATTAAAAAATAACAAATGACTGGGACCAGCAGGTGGTGTGGTGGTTAAGGTGCTGGACACTCCCACATGGTCCACCATGGTTCGACTCCCAGACCTGGAGGCTTGCTTTCTCACTTTCTCTCCCTCTCTCTCTGTCTCTCTCTGGTCAAATTAAAATAAATGAATGAATAAATAAAATGTTTTTTAAAAAATGACATAAAAATATAAATGTATCATTTTGTATGTCTATAATACGGAAACCTCCAAAAGGAAGAAAAGGAAAAAAACATCACTTGTAATACTCCCATCTAAAGACAAGTGCTATTAACGTATCAGTGAGTTATTTTATCAGGACTCTAGATTTGTTTGTATGTATTTTCAGACAACAGCAATTATACTCGATTATAAATAAGAATCTTATGTTTTTTGCTCTAATAAATAAATGCGAGTTGAAGAAAATTATTAAAATCTCATTTGTGTTAGGATTTTTTTCCTTTTCAGGATATGCACATGACTCAAGCCAAATAATCAGATCCAGTCAGAGCCAATTTGGAAAATTTAATTTGACCAGAGAGAGACAGAGCGAGAGAGAGAGAGAAAGTGAGGAAGCAAGCTACCAGGTCCAAGACTTGAACCGTGGTCAGCCACATGACAGTTCAACACCATTAACCACCATGCTACCTGCTGGTCCCTTCTTTCACTTTTTACTTTGTTTTTTTCCCTGTAGGGTGCATGAACTCACCAGAGACTGATGGGGGTTTGGAAGTCCTTCATTCTGGGAGGGTGGCCATGCTACAATCCCTTTTTCTCCATTCTCCTCTCAAGATTTTGGGCACACACCCCCACATGCCCGGCATGATTTTCAAGCCACAGGGTTGGGGACACAAAGCACTCAAGTCGGCCGTGTAAGATGCAGCTGCCATAACCTTTGTGCTACATGCTTGGCACCCTCTCACACTTTTAAAATTTCTATGTTGCAAAGATTTTAAATTTAGATATAAGTTGTAAATACAGTTCAGAAAGACTATATCCCTCACTCAGTTTTCCCTAATGTTAAATTTTTACCTAAGCACAGTAGGTGTGTAAAAACCAGGAAGTCAGCCTTGGTACATTATTGTTAAGTAAATTCCTGGCTTTACTTGGATTTTGCTAATGCTCATTATCTGTTCAGAATACAGCATGGTATTTATTTTATTCATTGTTTTCCTCTCCCCTTTCCCTCTTTCCTCTCCATTGCATTAATTTTGAAAACAATAGGGACCAGCAGTTAGCGTAATGGCTATGTCGCTGGACTCCCACATGGTCGACTGCGGTTCGAGTCCCAGACTCGGTGGCTTGAACTCACACCGGGCGCGTGTGCATGCATGCCCAAGATCCCAAGAGGAGAATGGAGGAGAAGGGATTGTGGCATGGCTATCCCCCCAGGGGGTGATTTCTCACTTTCTGTCTCTCTGTCTCTCTCTGTCTGTCTGGCGAGCGCACGCGCCCTATAGCAAAAACTTCTCCAAAAGAAAAAAAAAGAAAAAAATTTTGAAAACAATAGTTAAATCAGAAGTTAGATTGGATTTCATCTTCTTTATATTTAAATATGAATAATTAGGGTCGGCAGGTGGCATAGTGGTTGAGGTGCTGAACTCCCACATGGCTAACCACAGTTCAAGTCTCAGACCTGGTGGCTTGCTTTCTCACTCCTCCCACTCTCCCTGTCTGTCTCTGGTCAAATTAAAAATATATTTATAAATAAATGAAATAATTTTTTAAAAAGTTAATAAATTCAGGGACCAGCAGTTGGTGTAATGGCTATGACACTGGACTCCCATGTAGTCGACTGTGATTCAAGTCCTGGGCCTGGTGGCTTAAACTCACACCAGGCACATGTGCATGCGTGCCCAAGATCCCAAGAGGAGAATGGAGGAGAAGGGATTGCAGCATGGCCATTCCCCAGGGTGGGGGTGGAGTGACTTCTCGCTTTTTGTCTCTCTGTCTCTCTTTCTATTGAGCACACATGCCCTATCGCAAAAATCTCTCAAAAAAATTTTAATAAATTTGAGAACTATGAATAATTATAATTTACCTAAATTAGGTTCCAATTCTTAGAGGTAACATTCATTACGCCAACTGCTGGTCCCAGAGGTAACATTCATTTAATTTTGTTGTTTAATTGTGACTCCATATTACTTCCATCTTTAGGAGCTTTAATCTTTCACTTCATTCCTCAGGGAGCGCTTAACATCAATGATAGAACCATACCTCAGCCTCCTATTCTTCAGCTTTCAGTGGAAAAACTGAGCAGAGATGGAGCGTTCCTCCTGGATGCAGGCTCTGTGAGTGGTTTATCTTATCCTGACCGTTCTCATTGCATCCTGCTATACCTTCTTAGCGTTTGGCTTCATTCCTCTTGATATTCTCTTCCTGAACAGATTATATGTTCCTTCTGCTTCCACAGCCTCCTTGTTTCATTCTGAGCATAAAATGTCTCCTCATGGTAAATGCGAATTATTATTCCTTTAGTTGAAGGCTGTATAAGCTCATTCAATACACTCAGCCCATTTTCCCCTCTGTCTCATTGAGAGACATCTGGCATGGGTACGACCCCACAGTAAGGATGCAGTCAAAGGCTGTCTCAGCATCTGCTACCCAACCCAAGCCCCACCGCAAGGGGGGACCTGTGGCAGTGCTGGTACATTGACCTTTCGACCTTTTAAAAAATGCTCAGTAGTAAAGGTGAGTCAATACACGCACTATTATGCCACCTCTCCAAATAATTTTATTCTTGTTTCCAGATACTGATGCTTTGGGTTGGAAAAAATTGTACACAGAATTTTCTCAGCCAGGTTCTAGGAGTCCAAAACTACGCCTCAATTCCACAGACTATGGTAAGACTTGTTTATTTATTTATTTTTTAAAAATTGGTTTTTATTTACTTATTTATTTTGAGAGATTTTTGTTGTAAGGTGAGTGCAGCAGAGACAGAGACAGAGAGACAGAAAGTGAGAAATCACCCTCCAAAGGGGATGGCCACGCCACAGTCCCTTCTCCATATTCCTCTTGGGATTTGGAACATGCACGCACATGTGCCTGGCGTGTGTTTCAAACTGCCGGGATCTGGGACTCAAACTACAGTTGACCACGTGAGAGTCCAGCGCCTTAACCACTACACCACCTGTTGGCCCTAACACTCTTACTATAGCAATTATAGTATACTTAAAGGGCATTTCAAATATGGCAAAAACATGAACAGCCTATTTTGAAATCAGAAAATACTACTAAAAATTTTTCTATAAAAGAAAATACCTCCACAGGTTGTTTCTCTTCTAACTAGAATACTCATTTTCTGTTTTGCTGTTTTTCATTAGCTTACTTTTGCTTCATTGACTTTTCTGTTTTAATTTGTCTAAGCCAGTATTTTCTAGAGAAAGCAATGGATTTAATTAATGACAAAAAAAATTGTTCTCTGCAAATGGTGTTAATTGACGCACTGGTACATCTAGCAAGTAGGTGGCCAGTGTCAGTTGGATCAATATTGATTAGTAACTCTGTGGACAGGTCACTAAAAAACCTCATTTGTAAAATAAGAATACACTTACTGGGGCCGGCAGGTGATGTAGTGGTTGAGGCACTGGATTCTAATATGGCTGACTGTGGTTCGAGTCCCGGACTTCGTGGTTTGCTCTTTGATTTTCCCTTTTTCTCTGTCTCTCTTATCAAATTGGATACTAGTGATAATAAATAAAATTAAATAAATAATTCTTTAAAAATTAAAAAAAACGACAATACTCTTTCTTAGAGGAGAAGAGTAATTAAAATAATATATAAGATGGCCCTTATTAAACTACATAGTTTAGTTTTGAATTATAAAGTTAAAATTAATTATAGTAGATGGTCTATTTAATGTCATATTTTTTCAGTTCCTACTATCAGTTTGTATCCATCTTTGAAATACATATTTCATCACTTTCATAGTGCTGGATCTTCATATTGACAGTTTTTGTGACTCTATTAATTGAAGTCATTAGGGGATTCATGTATTCAAAAGACATATATAGGGGTGACCGGCAGGTGGCACAGTGGTTAAGGTGCTGGACTCTCACAGGCTGACTACAGTTCAAGTCTCAGACCTGGCAGCTTGCTTTTTCACTTTCCCTTTGTCTCCTTCTGTCTCTCTCTGGTCAAATTTGAAATGATAATAATAATAACAAATATTAAAAAATAATAATAATAATAATTCTTTAAGAGAAAAAACGAACATGTATGGGGGGCCAGGAGGTAGTGTAATAGTTAAGAGCACTGGACTCCCACATGGTCGACCATAATTCGAGTCCCAGACATGGTAGCTTACTTTCTCACTTTCTCTTTCTCTCTCTCTCTCTCTGGTCAAATTAAAAAGAATAATAACAAATTAAAAAGTTAAAAATAATTATTTTTTTAAAAATGAAGGCATATGGGGGGCTGGTAGGTGGCGTGATGGTTAAGAGCATTGGACTCCTGAGACCAGCAGTTAGCGTAATGGCTATGTCACTGGACTTCCACCTAGTCTCCCCCGGGGTGGCTTGCTTTCTCACTTTCCTTCTCTCAATCTGGTCAAATGAAACTAAATGAATAATGAATAAATTAAAATAATTCTTAAAAAGAAAAAAAGAGTGAAAGCAAGAAAGCAAGCTGCCAGGTCTGAGACTTGAACTGTGTTGGCCATGTGGGGTGTCCAGTGCTCCAGTCACCATGCCACCAGTCACCATGCCACAATGTCCTTTTAAAGATTTTTTTTTTTTTTTTTTTTAGAATTATGAGTGAATTGCATTTTTATGTTAAGAGTCTTTCCTACCTTGTGTTCTGTTCTATGAATGGTTTACATATTTGCACTTGGCGTAAGATCCTGGCAGGAGGAGGCGGGATGGTGAAAACCTCATTACAGAGAAGCATGTAACCCAAGTCTATCTGGGTCTCTTAATTGTGCTCTTGCTCCTAGAGACAATTGTCTCTCATGGGGCATGACATGCTTCATATTCCAATATTCCTACTTGCCATTCTTACTTGCCTTGAGGAATAAAGGCTAGCATATTGCCCTGTCAAGGAGGACCTATGGGGATAATGGTCTCATCTCCCAGACCAGATGAGCTGAGACTGCTGGGGATGTGCTTATGTGCAGATGGGGTATGAGGAGAGCCCAGGGCAGCCCTGAATTTAACAGCCAGAGGGCATGTGACGAGGGAGTGGACTGAGACCCCACATGGTGCCATGGTAGGCAGTGGCACTGCTTGAGGCTAGGCAGGGACACATGCATGGCCCAGTGCCCAAAAGACAAGCAGATGAGCTGCTAGAGAGGGACAGATTCCAGTGTAATCAGGGAGACTGCAGAACTTGACAACTCAAGGCTGACTGGGCACCAGTGGTGTGATGTCGTCAAAACCACAGTGGCTGAGTGTGATGCCAGCACGATCCAGCTCAAGAGAGCAGGCAGCCAGCATTCACGTAGCGAACAGATGACACTCTGTAAGTGGCTGGCCACAGCTCAGAGCCTAATGGAAGACCTCTCCCTGGCCAGCTCTGTGACGTGTCTCCCAGGAAGCCCCTGAGGCACTCACATGGTGTGTCTCTGTGTCCACTCTCTTGCTAGCCTGTTGTCCTTCTCTCTGTCAGCCTTGTAGGTATGGGCTATCTCTGGCACCAGAGGGTCTTCAGGGTTGGGGTCGCAGAGCAGGGAGCAGACAGACAGGAGTTTGACATGATCAGTGCTAGCGACCACTGGGACTGCAGGATGTCAAGGCAGATACTTCCATTGGTGTTGGTATTGGGGTGGTAAATTTTGGTTGTGAATGCAACCTTTGGGGGCTTGAAAGGGTAATCCGTAGGGAAGTGGATGGCCAGGAAGAACACACCTTGGTAAGGACTGTCATTGATCATCACCCACAGGTCCCGTGGAACACTGGGCAGATGGGTCCCTCTGTAGGTCGGCTAATTCCTCCTGGATCCATTTCAGGGCCAACCTGCCCAGCAGTGGGGCTGCTCGGCTTCCCTTTTTCTAGATTTTTACTACAAAATTATGGTCCCTGACCAAGTAGCATTGCCATTACCTGGGAGTTTGTTAGGAAGGTAGGATCTAAGGCCCCTCCCCAGACTTCCTAAATCACTGTCTGCAGTTCAGCAAGATAACTAGGTAACTCATATGTATGTTAAAATTTGGGAAGTACTAAGGGCCGGCAGGTGGTATGGTGGTTGAGGGTGCTGGACTCCCTCATGGCTGACTGAGGTTCGTGTCCCAGAACTGGTGGCTTACTTTCTCACTTTCTCTCTCTCCCTCCCACCCCACCCTCGGTCAAATTAAAATAAATAAATAAAGTTAAATAAAATAATTCTTTAAAAAATTTGAGAAGTGCTATAGACCAAACAGATAAATTGTTAGAACAACTTGGATCTCACTCATTTTCTTTAACAGACAAACCTTCCAGAACTTGATACAGCAGAGTCTGCCAGAACAATAGCTTTTATCTCCTGGCTTAGAGAGCAGAGACCGTTTTTCCCAATACTTTATGTAATAAGGTAAGTCAATTTTTTTCATTTTCTATTAACAGTAATGAAACACTTTGTTGGCCTTGCAAGGATCTGTTTTGAATCATAGGTATATATGTGACCTAATGCTTAAACAGCCTTTCATAAGAACAAAGGAAAAATAGGGCCAGCCTGTGGCCTAGTGAGCAAGGGAACCAGATCCCACATGGTCAACTGAGTGACTCGAAGCCCAACCTGGGTGTCTTGCAAAACACTCCAGGCACATGCCTAAAAATCACCAACAGATGAACCAGCAGGTGGCGTGGTGGCTAGAGCACTGGACTCCCACATGGCTTACCATCATTTGAATACCAGACCTGGAAGCTTAAAATAACATGCCAGGCACTTGTGCATGTGTGCCCAGATTCCCAAAAGGAGGGAGAAATGGAGGAAAAGGGATTATGACATGACCATTCCCTATGGGGGAGTGCTTTCTTCCTTTCCCTCTCCTCTCATTGTCTGTCTGGCAAGCACATCTTTCCTCTAGCAGAAATATTAAAAAAAAAAAAAGAAGAAGAAGAAGAAGAACTCTCAATAAAAGTAAATAGTACAAAATTATACTTTATATCCAGTAATTAGAATTATTAATCCTTTAATGAACTTGTTAATAAAAAGCTTAGCCCTTTATTCTAATTGCGCTATAAACTTCTTCCCCTAAACAACATGACGCTTATATAACCAACCAAATAGTCTTAGAGAAAGCCTTTAGAAGTACTATTTGTATGGTAAATGTTATGTTGGTTTTCAGAGTAAGTCAAAAGCCTGTAACAAACCCATTGTTTATTTTACTATTACATCTTATCTAATGTGTCTAAATGTTTTTGCCTTTTATTCCTAAGGGATGAGAGTCCAATGAAAGCAGTCTTCCTTCAAAGCATGGTAGAAGACAGAACGGAATCTGCATTATCATATTATGAATTCCTTTTGCATATACAGCAACAAGTGAATAAATGAACAAATTATACTTGGTTATTTCTAAAGAAAGTCACAATAATACAGAATACCTAGGAGTGTGTAATTCCTTCCTTTTCTGTTAAGTTTGTGGACTAATGTGATTTAAAAAAAAAAGATACTCTCACTGTGATTTCTTTCAACAAACTATAGCAAATAAAGGACCACAGCAGAGAATCAAACATGCAATTCTGAAATACTGTATTTTTCAAATTATATCTATGTATGACTGAATACCTTTTTTCCTTTGCTGCCAATTATGTTATGGATTGAAATAAGACAATATTGCAGAGACAAAGTACATTTTGTAAAATAAAGATTTCTGTGTTTCACATGTATATTTCTCATTTTTTTATTTTTCTCAATTTTGGCTGCTACATTTAAAACCTCTCAAGACTAAGTGTTGCAGGGAAGTTAAAATCCATTGAAAATAATCTCTTTAAAATAAAAAAATTTAGAAGTAAATAGAATGTAGGAAAAAAAAAACAGAATTTCTTCTCCACATATTGTTTTATTTGTTTGTTTTTCAAGGAAGGAAAAGGATCATCACGTTGACTAAAACTAGGGTAAACTAACTCTCGTCTAGCTTGAGAAGAATATGAAGTAATGCGTTCAAGCTTTAAAATCTGTCAGTATTTTTCAATACTTGAAGAACAAAGTCACTTTGATTAGAAGTGACAGCTGTCATTAAGTCGTTTTCTGCATATACTATTTTATTCCACAGTGAAAGAATTTGAGCTGTGTTCATAAATATACTGGGACTGGCAATGATAATAGGGAGATGAGAAGTTTTAGTCATTTCCATCATTTAGGTGGGTTTTTGTGTGGTACCTCTTTGCTCTGTGATATATAATAAATGTTTTTTTGGTGAAATGAAGATGAATGAAAGAAAGGAAAGTTTCTTAAATGGTATCTCCAATGCAACAATTATGTTTTTCTAAGAGTTTAATAATTAAGTTGGAATCTACTCTTAAGAAATATTTATTCTTGGATATATTAAAACCTATTCAAGCATGAATGCTACTGTTTAATTTGGTGGCTATTAAGATTATACTAATCCTGGGACCAGCAGATGGCGTAATGGTTAAGTCACTGTACTCCCACGTAGGCAACTGCGGTTCAAGTCCTGGACCTGGCAGCTTGCTTTCTCACTTTCTCGCTCTTGCTCTGTCCCTCTCTGGTCAAATTAAAATAAATAAATAAGCTTAAAAAAAATTACACAAATCCTATATATTGAAGTTATGAAAGAAAACTTGATTTCTGAACATGTTCGAGACTTTTTTTTTCCAGCTAGAGAAATATAGTCAAAACTTTTGAGTAAATTTTGTTTACAAATAGGTAAATTATACATCTGTATATTTAAAGTGCTGTGATAAATATCTTTAAAAGAATTTGACTCCGTTTTCACAGATTCATCTTGTCTTGAATGAACTTAACAGATGTTCATGTGTAATATTCGATGAACAGATTTTTGAGTTTTTTTCTGTTTTAATGGTTAAAAAATATGTTTACAATCTTGGTCTTCTATGATCACCAATGAAATAGTAACTTTCAGGTTTACATCAATATGAACTGACTTTAACTGAGTTCTTTGAGATAGGGAAGAAGCCAAGTCCCTTTAGAATATACTTTATATTTAGAACTACTGCTTGACATCTGGATCAAAAAAATTATGTTTAATAAAAATTCCACCTCCCTTAAGCAGTGTTAAGATTTGTTTTCAGTGTGCAAGTGGTACATTGAACTGGAAGTTTTCTTGAAAGCTGCTTCATTTATTAGGAAGCAATTTTCAGATTATAGCAAATTAGAATAAATTTATATTTATCCCTTTTTTTTAAAGAAACAGAATCAGTATGCCCTGATGTTTCTTAAAATAGCTATCATGTTCTTCATGTGATTTCAAATGTTGATATTTGCAGGTCCTAATACTGGGTTATCAGAAAAGTCATGATGCACTTTTGCATAGAAAAACATGAAAAAAGTACGGCATGACTTTTCCAGTGACCCAATAATAGTGAAGAATCATCCAGAAGGAAACATTTGTGCTTTAGGGATAATCTTCCTTGTGCCTCACTACATCCCTCAATGGGTATGACTCATTATTTACCACACACTTTATTAGTAATTTCACAAATTCATTTTTTTCATTTACTTTAAACATTATTTTAGCTATTATGTAACATGTGCAATCCAGATTAATTTTATAGCAGGTCATAAAAAACATAACTAGTTGGGATTCACAATATTTCTTCATTACTCTAAATAATAAGAGAATGAATGAATCTTTTGGGGGGATATCAATATAAAGTAATTATTTTTTGCAATATGAATGTGTTTTTAGTTTAGTTTTTTTGTTTGGTTTTGGGTTTTGTTTTTTTTTTTTTTAACAGTAGGGCACTACCTGCTGTATCATCTGGTATTACTTTTTAATGTAAAGCAACTAATATTTACACTATGCCATATTTTTTTTACCGTAGTTATAAATTATGAAAGATCCTTGAATTTTTTACAGCTCTACAACTACTAAAGTAACAGACAAGGGCAATCTTGGTATTTAAATCTGAGCATGGCAGTTCTATCATAAAAAGTACTCTATTTTTCTAATTTCTAGGATTTTTTAAATAACATTTCTGTAAGACTGACATACTAATATTCACTCAAGCAGTACCGTTTATTTTAGTTTGCATATATTTTCATCATTTTTAATTTAATGTATTGAGTCTAATAGACTGTTCTGCAATAATTAGAATAAGAAATTTATTTCTTCTAATCAAAGATGCATAACAGCTATTATCTAGGGGACCACCAAATGTGATTTCAAGATTTTGTTAACTATTACAAATATAATCCTTATATAGAAATTTTAATTTTGTAAAGTAGTGTATAATATTGTAACATTCAATTCTTGTTCTCAGATTCAAATATGTATTGATCTTCAATGTGCTGTCTTAAATCTTGCTTCTCTGAAAGTTTAGAGACAAGATTTGTCTTCCTTTTTACAGTTTGTAATTTTCACTGTTTTATTCCTGTTTAAAAAGAAAAGTCATTTGTAACCCATGCAAACAATTGTTTGATCTGTGCTAACTTATCAATTTGGCTATTCAATAAAGTGAATTGAAAGAGCTTACATACAGTGAGTACTTATTCAATGTGATAAGAACAGGGGCCATTACCTCTTCTGCAGGTGGTGTGGTGGTTAAGGAACTGCATCCTACATGGCCAACTTCAGAGTTTGAGTCCTGGACCTGACCCTGCAGCTTGAAAATCATGCTGGGGGCCAGCAGGTGGCATAGTTGGTAAGGTACTGGATTCCCACATGGACAACTAAGGTTCAAGTCCCAGACATTTTGGCTTGCTCTCTCACTTTCACTTTCTCTCCCTCTCTGTCTGTCTCTGGTCAAATTAAAGAATAATAACAAATGGAATTAAGTAAATAAATAATACTGGACCAGCAGTTGGCATAATGGCTATGTTGCTGGACTGCTATGGAGTCGACCGCGGTTCAAGTCCTGGACCCGGTGGCTTAAACTCACGCCCGGCACATGTGCGTGTGTGCCCAAGATCCCAAGAGGAGAATGGAGGAGAAGGGATTGCAGGGTGACCATCTTGGGGGAGGACAATTTCTCTCTTTCTGTCTCTCTCTCTTTCTGGCGAGCACACACACCCTATAGCAAAAACCTCTCCAAAAATAAATAAATAATACTTTTTTTAAAAGAAAATAAAGTCATGCCGGGTGATTTTTCTGGTACTCAAACTGTGCAGCCAAAAAGAGAGCACCACCCAATGGGGGTGTGATGCAGCAATCCCTTCTCCAACTGTGCATCCTGTCAGAATTATGTGCACATATGCCTGCCATGTTTTTCAAGCCACTGGTGCCAGGATTTGAACTGTAGTTGGCCATGTGGAATCTAGCTCCTACTGTACTGCACTTAACTACTACATTGCAGGGCAGGGCTGTTCTTCAATTTTTTTTTTAATGTGTGTGTAGGATTTTTTTAAATTATTTTATTTATTCATTCATTTATTTTTTAAGTTGGCCAAAGAGAGACTCAGAGAGAGAGGGAAAGCGAGAAAGCAAGCCACCAGGTCCAGGACTCGAACTGTGGTGGGCCATGTGGGAATGTCCAATGCCTTAACCACCATGCCACCTGCTGGTCCCTCTATTTTTTGGTTTTCGTTTTGTTGTTTTGTTTTGTTTTGTTTTTAATTACCAGAGGGTACATACACTCACCAGAAAGAGAGAGGGACATGGCCATGCTGTAGTCCCTCACCTTCTGTTTCTCCATCCTGTCAGGATTTTGGGCACACATACCCAGCATGTTTTTCAAGCCACTGGGGCCAGGGTTCAAGCCACACAGTGAGCCACATAGACTCTGGCTCCCTTAACCAGCATTCTCTGGGGCTGGCCCAATCTGTCCATCTGTTTTATTAATTTCTGTGTGTTTTTGTTCAATAATTTTCTTTTTTTAAAAGAATTATTTAATTTTATTTATTCATTCATTTATTTTAATATGACCAGAAAGAGCGGGGGAAAGTGAGAAAGCAAGCCACCAGGTTTAGGAATCGAACCGTGGTCAGCCACATGGGAGTGTCCAGCACCTTAACCATCATGCCACCTGCTGGTCCAATAATGTAGTTTTTAATGAATAAACATACTTCTAAATTGTTCTATAAGATTAATTATTTCTGGAGTTAATTACTATCCTATATTTTAAAGAATTATTCATTTGTTTAATTCCATTTGTTCTTATTATTCTTTAATTTGACCAGAGATAGAGAAAGTGAAGGCAAGAAAGCAAGCCACCATGTCCAGGACTCAAACTGCAGTCAGCTAGTCAGCACCTTAACAACCACACCACGTGCAGGACCACTATTCCTTTTTTTTTAGACTTATTTTATTTAACTTTTATTATTTTAATTTAATTTTATTTATTCATTCATTTATTTTTATTTGATCAGAGAGAGATAGAGACAAACAGAGAGAGAGGGAAAGTGAGAAATCAAGCTACCAGGTCCAGGACTTACACCATGGTCAGCCATGTGGGAATGTCCAGCACGTTAACCACCATGCCACCTGCTGGTCCCCAGGCCCACTATTCTTTTCTTCTGCCCTTCATACTGTCTACGTGGGTCAGGCTACGTGGGTCAATAGCAAATGATATTTTGGACCTTTGCCGAGAGAGGGCAGGCTTCCAGCATTTGAATTTGACCTGGTCTTCTCTGACTCAGCACTTCCCATGCCTGTTTCCCCATAGCATGTGCTGCCATGGCCGTCCTCTGCCCGGGCCTGCAGGCCAGCCAGCACTGACCTCTGTGCCACACTCACCTGTGTTCCTGACACCTGGTCTCCTGGTTTTCAGTCAACTTATTCTTTCTAGTCTTGTATATAAGCACTTTCTGTTATCACCAGAGGCATGTACACTCACCAAAAAAAGCCAGAGAGGGAAAAAGCACCACTGCCCACAGGGCATGGTCACACTGCAATTTCTTCATTTCTCCATCTTGTCCAAGTCACTGGGGCCGGGATCCAAGCACACTTGCACATGTACCCAGTGTTTCTGTCAAGTCACCAGAGCCAACTCTGAATCACAGCCATGTGGGATCTGGCTCCCTTAACACGAGGCCATTGGGTCAACCCTCTCCTTTTACATTTTTAATTGTTACTGTTACTGTGTGCAGTAGAGAGGAGTTGAAGCATAAACTTACTGCCTAATATTTTTTAAATAATTATTTAATTTTATTTATTCATTCATTTATTTTAATTTTACCAGAGAAAAAGAGAGAAAGCAAGCGAGAAAGCAAGCCGCCAGGTCTGGGACTTGAACCATAGTCGGCAAGTTCTGGGACTTGACCCATAGTCGGCCATGTGAAAGTATCCAGTGCCTTAACCACCATGCTACCTGCTAGTCCCCTTGCTGCCTAATTTTAATCCCAGAAACTGAATTCTAGTTTTAACACTTTATTATTTTTTGGGAGGTGGGGGAGAGATTTTTGTTATAGGGTGCATGCACTTTCCTGGAGAAACAGGGATAGAGAGCAACAAACCACCCCTTGGAGGGGATGGCCACATCACAATCCCTTCTTCATTCTCCTCCCAGAATCTTGGGCATACATGCACACACACCTGCCATGAGTTTGAAGCCACCTGGTCCGGGACTTGAACCATGGTCAGCCATGTGGGAGTCCAGTGACATAACCACTACACCATCTGCTGGTCCCCACTTCATTCTTTTTTTTTTTTTTTTACATAAATTAACCCGTTTATTGTAGGCTAGTGATATTCCAAATGGCTATGGAGCTTCTGGTCCTTCAGTTCCTTCAGTCTTCTAATGGCAGGCTTTACTGTGACAGCGGAAATGGTGCTGTAGGTCCAGGCACCACAGGCTACTGTTTTCATGCAGGAACCACAGTGCCAGGTCCCCACAGCCCGTCTCTTCGTCTTAGTTTTGCCACAGAAGGAGCAAGTGTACTTGGCACGCTGGCTGATTTCAGTTTTCTTCACCATTTTCCAGAGGGAGACACCATAGGGTCCCATATTCACCAATGATGCCGACCTTCTTGATGCGTTTAACCATATTGCTACCAACTAGGTCTGATCCCAGACCTAGAAAGAGCCACTTCATTCTTTTCTAAAAGTTTATTTATTCTGGGGCCAGCAGGTGACTTGGTAGTTAAGGGCACTGGACTCCTACATAGCTGACTGCAGTTCAAGTCTTGGACCTGGAGGCTTGCTTTCTCTCTCTCTTTCTCTCTCTGTCCCTCTCTAGTCAAATTAAATTAAATGATAAAGCTAAATAAAATAATTCTTTTTTGGGGGAAGAGGCTTTTGCTATAGGGCGTGTGCACTCACCAGAAAGACAGAGAGATAGAAAGTGAGAAATCACCCCCCAGGGGGGATGGCCACACCTCAATCCCTTCTCCTCCATTCTTCTCTCGGGATCTTGGGCACACATGCACATACTCCCAGCGTGAGTTTAAACCACAGGGTCCAGGACTTGAACCACAGTCGGCTACATGGGAGTCCAATTCTATGAGAGAGAGAGATGAGGGGAGACACACCCAACAGGATATCCACACTACAATCCACCTTCAGTCCCAGCTGGCCAGGACCATGGGCACACGGTTTCCTGGGACGCAAACTAAGGACCTTTCCCATGTGATGTGGGTCCACTAGGCTGCTACTGCACCACCATCTGACCCCTTTCATTTCCCCCTTTTTTTTTTGTTTTAAAGTTTTTGCCATAGGATGTATGTGCTCACTGGAGAGAGTCAGAGAGAGAGAGACAGAGGGAAAGTGAGAGATCTCTCCCCTGGGGGATGGCCATGCTGTGGTCTCTTCTCTATTCTCCTCTTGGGATTTTGAGCATGCGTTCACACATACCCAGTGATTTTTCAAGCCTCCAAGTCCAGGACCCAAACTGTGTTTGGTCACATGGGAATCCAGTGCCTTAACCACCACGCCACTTGCCGGCTCCACTTTTCTGTTAATACTCGGTTTGTTATGTTTTGTGTCTTCAATTTATTCGAATCTTCCAATCTCAACAGAATGAAAAAGGGGTTGTGGTGAAACCATATCATGTTGGGAGATGCTTTCTCCCTCTTCCTCTCTTTCTCTCTTCCACTTTGGCAACATTAAAAAAAAAAAGTTAATAATAGATTATTCTCTGAAATAAGAAAAGCTCAATAATTGCCTAAGAAAGATTGAGTCAGTTGAAGAAATAACTTTTCTGGGTGGTCACTGTGCCATGAAGCGCGGCCTGGTTCTCTGCGTCTTGGCCACATGTTGAGATGCTGTGGGAGTCAGTGACTCACATGCCACCAACAAAAGTTAGCAGCTCGGTCCTGGCTACTTTGCGTGAGTTAGCTAGACTGAATACTTGAAGTGCCGAAGCCAAGTCCCATTTGCTGGCAGCTTCCACTTTGCAGTGACAGAAGAGGCTGTCCTGCAGATGCTCTGTCACTGCCATCTGACCTGAAGTTGGCCGGGGAGGGGTCCCACCAGTCAGACACAGCCGAGAGGCACATCAGGCTCCACTGAGACTCGGTACCAAGTTACAGTTCTTCCCCACCAGACTGGACGGGCGTTGGGCTGCCACCCACACCCAGGTGGGAGAGGCAGATGGCAGA